TGGCAGGGGTATGCAGTCGTGAGAGAAGCAAGTGAAGGAAATGAGTGCATGAGTAATGGCAGGTGTTCGGGAAGTGCTGAGGAATCAGAAGGTGTTCAGGCTGAAATATTAGGGGCTGGCAGGGATCCAGAGACAGGCTCGGACTGGATGGGTCATTTGGGAAGAGGGAGCGGGTGCTCTCGAAGGTTGCCCAGCACTGAATGCATAGAGAACCCACCTGCCTCTGTACCCCGCGCCTGGAGGAGGCAGTACAACCAAGGTCTCCTGGCCCCATGTCAAGATTTCCTCACATCAGGAAGGATCAGAGCATCCTAAAGGTCAGTCATTCTCATAGCACCTTTATGATTTTTACCTTATCTTCACAGTAACTCCCCAATCATTCATTTTTTAAACCTAAATAAATTTGGCTCCATCCTGAACAATGACACCCATGAAATGAGTTCCTATGATAGTTATATTTTCTGTATCACAGTATTTATTTCAAAAAGAATTTTTAAAGCATGTATCTATAGCTCACCTAAAATCATCAGAGAATATTCTGGGAAATACCAAGTTACATTATATATTAGATATATTACATACAATATTACATTATTACTGAGGCTATGCTACTAAGAAGAGAAAGGCAGAGATATTAAGCATTTAGACAGACAGTATGTGTATTTAAAATAATGCTGATTACTGGAAAAAGAATCACTAATTAGCCTACTGAGTGGATGATACTTTCCCTGTGTGTTAGTGGAGGTTCCATCCGGGAAGAGGAATGACAGTGAGTACTGTATAGGATTTTATTACAGGAATTAGACCTGATACAACTGTGGGAAGAGCTGGGAGATAAACATCTGACAAAGCGAGTTGAAGTTAAAGAAAAATCCCCTAACCAGCCCTCCTGAAGCACAGGTGCAGATGGACAATTGGGAGCTTGCAGGGATCTGGGAAGCCAGGTACTACCAGCTAACAGAGAGGAGCCACAGTAGAGAGTTGGTGGAGAAGTCTATGGCAAGCTGTCACCTCCGCATTTGGTGGGCCAGGATTGCCGACAGTTAGCAGGGCCAGCAGTCGAAAGACGAGCTGAACTCAGAGTAGGAAAGTATGAAGTAGCTGGCAGTAACTAGCATTTCCATGACTGTTTCCCACAGAGCGTGCTCTAGCCAACTTTTTTTGGCTATCTCGAACTCAGAACCATACAGGGAGAGGGATTCTGGGAAATGTAGTTCCAGCTGAATCCGTGACACACTATAAAGCCAGAATGCCACTGACTCCAGGCAAGAATGGGGACCAGAGGTGTGATCATGAGCTGTGGTTAAGACAATGCAGATCTGGGGTTGCAATGGGCTGCTGGCTAAGGGATGTCTGGCTCGTCCTTTTTGTTGGGCCTACATAGGCTTTAAAAAAGCCACAAATCCAGGCACTGTTAAGCTTGAACACAATACAAGCAGCCAAGAGCCAATACCTTCCACCCCTCCTCTGCATGCATTTATGTACACCGCATGCGGCTGCAGGCTTGTGAGTTTGTAACATTAATACAGTTGCACAAGAAACAGGTTAGATCATCTAGTCATTCATTAACTGGTATTCACTGAGCACCTATGGGCCAAGCACTGTTTCAGGATCTAAGGATACAGTAGTAGCTCAGGAGATCGAATCTCCCCTCCACTCCAGGAATGGGAGACAGGCAATAGCCAATCTATGCACCCATTCTATGTAGGCTAGAGGGAAGAGCTATGAGCTAAAAGCAGGGTACAGGTCTAGAAAGAGACTGAGAATTTTTTTTAGATAAGGTGATCAAGTAAGGCGTCTCTGAGAAAGGAGTTGATGAAGGATGGAACCACAGAAAGTCTTCCAGATGTAGGAACAAATGTGCAAAGGCCCAGAAAGCAGAAGATGCTTCACCTGGTGGAGGAACTACAGTAAGTCAGGTATGATTGTGGCAGTAAGGGTCATGAGGAGTGTGGTCCGAGATGAGGTCTGAGATAAGAGTCTTTGAATTTCATTCACCTCAGTGGAAGTGGACGTCCCCTGAGGGTTCATGCAGCCAAGTGACCTGCTGTAAGTGCAAAGGAAGTGGAGCTGCTCCTCCCCAGCCAGAGCCGGCTGACTGGGGTTCTGATGGAACGGTTTACACCTACACAAATAAGTAGGGCTAGAGAAGACAGTCTGAGTGGTAATTTAACCCTTAACTAAAGAAAAGCTTTGAAGAATTGAGAAGCTCGTTTGTCTCTAGATAGCTTATTTTGTTTTAAAATCATGCTCTGCAGCCAGCCCAGAGACTTATCCGGTATAAGCCCGGCCTCTGGCCTTAGCGTGGTTCCACTAGACGCTAAAGGCTAGACCTTAGATAAGGCCCAAGACAGCTGGGCAGTGGCCTCGTGTCAGCCCCCTGCCCACTCTCTCCATGCGGCAGAAGCAGGTGGAAAGGGTGGGAGAGAGGGTCACACTGGTGAGTGTGAGAGGCAGTGTTGGAAGCAACTGGCTAAGTCAGAAGAGGCCTGAGCACAGGGAATAAATTGTGTTGGTATAATTTCAACCTCAAATTATATTTCATGGCTTAATGCCAGTTCTCAGGTTCTTGTTAGAGCTGGAACAAAATAGTTTAGAGGACTTCAAGTCCTGTAAATGATCAAACTGTGCTGAGGAACCCTGGGATTCTCGGGGACAATCCTGAGAGGGGATGCGAGGGAAAGCCAGTGGTGGAGAGAGGGTCTCCTGCCTCTGACCTTTACCCCACTGCTTCCATCTATGTTAAATTGGATATTTAGCTAAGATTTTTCTTGACAGGAGAGTTTTGCAGCTAAGAAAAGAAGTCTGAAAATCAAAATCAAATCCATTTTAACCCCCTCACTGTGAGGATGAAGAAAAAGGTTCAGAGATTAATTACAAATGTTCTGGACACCCCCTTCTCAAACTTTCTCTCACTCATCCTCCAGTAACCTTATGAAGTAGGCATTAATGGTCTTATTAATGAGAAAACTGAGACATAATGAGGTTATTTTTTTAATCCCTCACAGCTGAACGGCATAGCCAAGATTTGAACCCAGACTAATCCATCTGACACCTAAGCCACAACTCATAAATTTCATGCTATCCTAAAACAAACAACCTATCAGCCAAGGTGATTCTCACCGCCATCCAAAGAAAAGCTGTTAAAATGTTTAGAACAGCCATAATAACTAATATAATATTTACAAAGCTTTTACTATTTGAACTATTCTTCATGTAGCACTTACTATAAGCAGACTTTGGGTGATTTACAAATACTAACTCACATACTACTTCCAGTAGTTCCAGGAGGTACTTATTATCAACATTTCCAATTTGGGGGGAGGGTATGGCTCAAGTGGTAGAGCACATGATTAGCATACACAATGTCCTGGGTTCAATCCCCAGTATCTCCTCTAAAAGTAAATAAGTAAACCTAACTACCCCCCAAAATAAAATTAATTTTTTAAAAATAATAAAAAATTTAAAAATAAAAAAAAACTTGAAAATGAGGTAAACTGAGGTACAGTAAAATTGAATAATTCGCCCGTGCTTGTAGAGGAGGGATGTAACCTATTCAACGCTACACACGGAAGAAGTAATTCAGGAGACAGGCTCCCTTGCAACCTGTGCTCTCTTCAAACCACAGTGGCTTCCTACGTCCCTGCGGAAGGGAGAGGAACGTGAGAGATTTCACAGGCCGGAGTTCCAAGGACCGGTTTTATTCCTCTCACATCCTATTGGCTAGAACCCCATCACATGATGTCAACTAACTGCAAGGGAGGCTGCGAAATGCGGTCTAGTTCCGTGTCCAGTGGGAAGCGGAGAAGTCTGGATGAACGTCTAGCATCCTTTCTAGTAGAGAGAAAGCCACTCAAAGTGATGTAAAACACTCAAGCTACTTAGAGGAAGAAAGCTAATTTCTGTGCTTAATTTTTTTAATTACATATCTAGGAGGGCTGCGCGACATTTGGCAGTCACTTTCTTCAGCAAATGGCATTTTCTGAGTAGCCCTGGGTCCCAAGACAGAAAGCACAGCATCTTCTGCCGGTGCCCGCGTCGGGGTGGGCAGCGTGTGCAGGCGGTTCGCTCCTCCTGGCTTTCTCTCCCCATCTTGCGCTGTGCGCGCTCCTGTTCCTGCCCTCCCAGCCTCGTTTCCTCCTCCCCACCGCTTTCATTTTCATTTTTGTTTTATTACACTCTGACCCGCTTTATGCCGCAGTGCCAGCCGCTCTCAGCCCCAAACCCTCCAGCGCTAACTGCCCTGGGGCAGCTTTGCGGCCCGTTTCTCTGCTGGTTAAGATCCGGGTTTACACTTGATGGGCACCGAGTCTGTGGAGAGAGGTCGCTGGTTTCGTTCGGGGACCACGTAGCTGGTGGGATGAGCTATTCAGAGGACTAGGGGAGAAAGAGGTATATCTGAGGGTAAGAGTCGGCCACACCTCAGGAAATGGGTAAAGAAAGTGTCGACTCAAGGGTAAGCAAGTCAATGGGAAGTGGCTGACCTCCTCTCTACACACACAGACCCCGCAAAGCACACAGCCTGCGCTGGGAAGGGCGTGAGGCCCTTACGGGGAAAACTTCGGGGCAGGAATGGCTCACTCTAAATCTATGGTGACCAGGTGAGCCCCTACAGAGGCCAGGCTAGCCAGTGGGGTCTGCGGTGAACCGACGGGCCTGGCCCAGTCCAGCCCCACTGCCGCCCTGTAGGAATCTAGGGTCATTGCTGCCAAGAATACCTTTTTTTCAAAAGAAACAGAAAATCAGGGCTTTCTTCATTCTAAAGTGTCGATATCTATTTTAAACAATTTGTTTAAAGTGCAACTTAAACGTGTGCCTAAACCAGGTTGCCCCCAGGCGAATAATCTGTGACTCGGAATTCAGGCCGCAGAGCACAGTAAACTACAGAGAAGTGTCTGTCAAGACGCTCGGCCAAGTGTTCGCGGGTGTTTTTTATGTGTGGCCCTCGGACTCGATAAACATGAACCAATAAAGATGAAGACAACGTGGTGAGGGCTTACCGCTGGGGCCAATTTTCATCAGGAGAGAAGGGTCCTCATTCTGCCCGAAGACTACAGAGCTCAAGGGCGCGGCCTCATTTCCGTAGAATCACCTGCTCCTTCGCGGGCCGCAGCTTCCGGGACCCTTTCCACCGAGCGGCCGGGGCGAGCGCCCCCCGCGTCTGCCGAAGCGCATCAGCTCCCCCTTGTGGCCCGGCTGGGTCAGCCCCGCGGCAGCCGCCGAGTAAATGAGCCGGGAAACTCCGGTGACTTTCCCAGGTGGAATTGATGACAATTGGGTTGAATTAAAAATACACTTAGCTTGATATTTACACAAATGCTGTGGGGCTACCTTTTGTAAATCAAGGAGTCTTCTGGGACAGTGGATAAACCATGCCTCAGTTCCACCCTCCTAATTTCTTAAATACATTCAAAATATGAGAATCAAGTTTTCTGAACTTGACTCACATGAACCTCAAACAGAAACACGTGGGTGAGAGATTCTCGGTGACCCATTTGGACTCTGTTTCAGGGGTGACAGCCCCCCTCATCAATAACCCCATGACCCTCAGGATGGTGTGGAGGGGAGAGAGTTGAGAACCACCTGCAAGTACAAAGGACGAGCTTTTTAAGAAAAAAAAAATTTTTTTAGTCTAAAAACTATTGACTATTTCAAGATTTTAATTCTTTAAAATAATGGAATGTTAATTATTAGAATGCAATAAACTGCAATTACATTTTAATTTCTATTTAAATTATATTAACATAAATTATTAATATAGATCATTTTTATAATTATTAGTTATTTTTAATTATTTAAAATTATTCATCAACAACAGAAAACAAACTTTATGATAAGCAATAGATTTCAGTTATAATGCAGATACCATGTTGAGGAAGAAGGAAAAAAAAATTGAAAGTGAGATGGGAAAGAAAGACAGGGAGTCATGGGAGAAAGAGTTAAAACACTGTTGACATTTGGAAAACTACTCTTCCGGCTGCTGAGGCTGCTGACCAGTGAGGGGATGCTCAGCAAGCCATTAAACCTCTTATCCTGATTTTTAACCGATAAAATGGAAATTCCACCACAGACCTTGTCTATCTACGTTATGTCTACCCTTCATGCTGTCAAAAGGCTTAATAAGATTTTTGTAACAGCACTGGAAAATTACAAAGTAGCATAAGACAGTAAGAGAGTTGTGATAATATAACTGTAACAATATAAATGCAAAAGCACAGAAGACAAAAGCAGGTGGGGGGCTCCAAAGAATGGCGGAGTTGAAGAGGTGGTTCCTTTGGCTCTGCCTGCTTCAGTGTGGCCACCAGAACAAATTTTCTCCTGTTCTTGCTGCCCTTCGAAGTTCAAATTGTCTTAATAATCTCTCTTTGTAATGATTCTGGTCAGTTGTATTTCCAACTTCAAAGTTTACATTTTAAATAAATACTTGTTCTGACATGCATCTGGGGAAGTGTGAAATGCATAGAGAAATTTAGAGATTTACACTGTCCTGAAGAATGAATTTCTGTGACACTGAACATTTCTTCGGCCCTAACTTTTTATCAAAGATTGTTTTCTTCCCATTGTAAGTGCCTCAGCATTAGATTTGGGACCAGTGTTTGTTGAATTATTCCAAGTCATTGTTTTCATAGCCTCAAGGTATGGATGGTGATTCCAGGAAAGGGCAGCCTGCAACCAAGCGCTGAACTTCCAGATAGACATGATCTCCTTGACCCTGGGTTGCTCTGGTGTAATGACTCTATCAAACAGATTTCATCTTCTCACTTCATATGGTCTTCCAATGACTTGATGAAATCCAAACTCCCTGTCGTGATAAACCAACCCCCTGACAATGTTACTCCGATCCCTTTTCCATCGAGTGCCCTATTAAGCCCAGGATAACACAGGGTGACACAGTGCCGCAGGCTTCGAAAGCACAGTCCAGACTGCATGTGACGATGGAGGGTGTTGGGAGGGGTGTCTCTGGGAAAAAGCAACAATAATAAAATGAAACACCATTTGATATATTTGAACGTAAAAAAATTAGTTGAGATATAAATAATCTGATGGGGGTGGAAATTAAGTCTCAGTATACAGAAAGCAAAACAATTATAATCAAGGAAAACAAAACATTTTGTGAGAATGAAAACATGATAATAGCAGATTACTTGGGTTTTGCAATGAATTTTATTTTCAAAAACACACCAATGTCAGTACCTTTTATTGACCTAACTGAAAATAGGATATAACTATTGGGAGGCTGGCAGGAGAGGAATTGGGGGTAGGGAATATAGGAGCACTAAATCTTCACCTAGCATAACAGAAAATCAATAGGTAATATCCAAGTTAAAAAAAAAAACAGTTCCTTAAGCATACTATTTAGAACTCTAGAAATAAATATCACTCCCTTCAGTGTATCAATTACAAAGGTCTGACCTCACACTCTGGATGCTTGGTTTGAAAATGTCTTGCTCTTCCAGGAAACTTTATACAGCTAATAGCCAGTATCCCAAGGCACAGTATATACTTAGGTTCAGAGTCACTATTACAGATCATGGATGTGAATCCCTCTTTTGAGTCTTTTCTTGAAATTTTTGTATTTCTCTGACCAATTTTTTATAACATAAAATTAGATGATCATTATTTTTTATCTTACTATTACAGCATCATCAGATCATCATGAGACCACAGGTCCACTCTGCCATTTTCTGGCTGTCCATTGCACTTGCATTACTAGTGCTCACTGGTCTATTCTGTGAGGGTCATTTCAGTTAAATTCGTTTCAAGTTATGTCTTGAAAACTATCTCCACAGTCACATAGAAGCAGCAACACCTTGGAAATTCTTCACAGAATAAATGAATGAGGGTCCTTGTCACACATCCCTCCCCCCACAGCACTGTGGTGGAACTATTTCCGCAGGGCACCAAGTGACATGGGGCGTCTGACATATGGACCTAGTGGTGACATCAGTGTTAGTAATGGGTAATTATTTTTAGTATAAAATTAAATACAAATAGAAGTTTTAATATTTTTACCTTTTACTCCAGTGAATTGTTTTTGACACCCCACCTGGGCATCCCAGATTATGTCTTCAGAGGGCTGACCTCAATGCACTCTCTTCTCAGCCTCTACTAAAATGTCCCCAAGGCAGAAGGGAGGAAGCGTAGGACATCAGGGTCTCTAAAGGAAAGGGAAGCTGAGCTTTGGCCAATTTGGAGCAAGTGCAACATTTCCTTGAGTTTTGTTCTTACCTTAACATTTTATGCACATTTTGTCTTCCGTGTGAGAACATTATACCTATGCATGCTTTAATCAGTCACACTTGCATCAAACTCAGGTAAATCTGACTGAAAGTGACTGCCCAGGCAGAGGCCCGTGTTTGGCATGTTGTTCAATTACTTCATCGCTATAGCACGTGAGTAGGATAAAGGAGTAATGTTGACCTGAATTTATCACTGAAGAAAGCCAGCTATTGACCAGAGTGTTCATTGAAACGTCCCCCAGTGCCCTCTGGCTTCCTGGAGATGTTAATAAGAAGTCTAAGTCAGACAGAGGTGGACAAATATCATGTGATACAACTTATATGTGGAATCTAAAAAATGACACAAATGAACTTATTAAAGAACAGAAACATACTCACAGTCATAGAAAACAAACTTATGGTTACCAAAGGGGAAATGTAGGGGAGGGCTAAATCAGGAGTTTGGGATTAGCAGATACACACTACTATGTGTAAAATAGATAAACACCAAGGTCCTACTGTATAGCATAGGGAACCATATTCAATAGCTTGTAATAACCTATAATGGAAAAGAATATGAAAAAGATATATATAGATATATATATAACTGAATCACTCTGCTATACACCAAAACTAACAGTACATTGTAAATCAACAATACGTCAATTAAAAAATCTCTAAGCTTCCAGGTAATAAATTTTAAAAGCCACCCTTTTCATTGCACGATAACCATGGGCTGCCTTAAGCTTTGATAAGGGTGCTTGGCTGCTTATAATAACCTGGCAACCAAAAAAAATGAGTATGAAATATCCAGCAAATGGGGTGCAAAGGAGACACAGTTCCAGGTGTCAGTCTTCAGGGGAGCGGCAAAGACAATGCTTAGATGATCTTCATTTCAATTTTGCACTGAGTTAATATTATCTTGTTGCAGAAGCCACTCATTTTAGAAGCTCATGAGAAGAATAAAGTCTAATAGGAACACAGACTTTGTCCTCCAGACATGGACATAAATAATACAAGGCAGAAGCTTAAAATGTCATAAACGAAGTGTGGAGCCGGTGCTACAGGAGTTGAGCAGAAGGATTTCTTCTGACTAGGGAGAGGGGTGTGCAGGGAAGCATAGGTGTTGAAATCCTGGTGGGGGGAGGCTCTGTTGCGGTCCTGGGGCACAGGACTAAGAAATCCCGAAATGGGCAGAAAAGGGGGGAATTGTGCAACTGAGGCGCCAACTCAATGATTTCTGAAAAGGTTGAACATACTTATTTTTTAATGGGTAATTTAAATGGTCATTTATTTTTGTATTTCTAAATCCTTTTTAGTTCCCATAACTACACACCTGGTTTGGTAAAAACATTTTTATATTCATCACAGTGGCAGTTTTCTCTCCAGATAAACTTGTAGCCATAATGTTGTCATTTTAAAGCATGGTGTAGAAATTCAGAGGTGTTAGTTGCTAGGTCATAGAAGCTCTACTTCATGCATATTGTTTGAATTAGTCTTTTTTTGTAGGAGCAAAGAAAATTAAATAGTACTAAATGGTTTATTAAAAAAAATACGTAAAAACTGTTGTCCCTGCCTCACCCCTCCATATCCTCCATCCCTGGTTCTGATCCCCAAGGAGATGACTTTAAATTCTTTAAGTGTTTTGTTTGATGTTCATTTCTAGATTTCTGAGTAGTTTGCTTATGTGAGTTTTTCCAACCTTGGACATTACCTATTGATTTTCTATTATGCTGGATGAAGATTTAGTGCTTCTGTATTTTCTATCCCCACTTCTTCTCTTGCCGTCTTCCCAATATTTATATCCCATTTTTATGTAGTTACATGAATAAAGGTTTTGGAATTAGTACATTCTTGCAAACGATAGTCAGTGTAAAACGTAAGTAAACTACAATTATTATGTTGTCTTTCTTGTAAAATGTTTTGTTTTCCTAGACTATAATTTTTTCCCTTTACAGTTTTCTATGTATTGAAAGTTTGATTTTCCCCTATAATTATTGAAATTGTACATATTATAATTTTTATAATAATTCGGTATATTGTTAAATTAAACAAGGAGGCATTTAGACTGAGGCAACGCTAATACCATGGCAGCTTATGGAAGGGACCCAAAGGCTAAGCCTGTAAGTGCCTCAAGGTTACAAAATCAAAATGCTACGGGCAACCAATCACAGCCAAGTAGGCTTTAAACTATAACCAAATAATTTCTTCTCTTTGCTGCTGCACTTTCTGTAGTCTCCCCTGCCCCCTGGTGAAGAGGGCCCCTGACCACTTCCTGTTTGGTGCTGCCAGATTCCAGCTGATTTTTGCTCCAAGAAATTCTTAAAATTTGTGATACACCTCAGTTTATCTTTTTGTCAACCAACGTATAAAAAGTTCAGTACATCAGGTCGTTCATTTATCTGTTTATCCTGGAGACCTCTCTCCCAGCCGCCTCCATCCTCCTCACACAATCTGGCTGCTTTTTAAGCCTGCTACACAGTGTCATCCTGGGACGTCTCTGTTACTTTGCTAAGTTGGAGTCTCTGTTTTCCGGCTGTTACAGATACATGTTTATTTTTCAGCACATTCTCATTTTTCTGCCATGTTCGATGGTAGCCAGGCTCAGAGCCCCGAGCCATCCTGGTGTCTGTGCCTTGGGTAGTTCCCTCCTGCTCTGAATCGGGGCTGAGGGGCTGTTCCAGGTGACAAATGGAATACAACGTAAGCAGCTGTGTGTAGCTTTGGGGATGGGGCCAGGAAAGGCTCATGCAGTTCCTGTCTGGCTCTCCTGGGATCACTCGCCTGCTCTGTGGGAAGTCCGCTGCCACGTTAAGAAGACCTGGCCAGTGATGGCGAAGTGGTGCAAAGGTTCGTTTGTTCTCAGTGTCAGCTGTTGGGGAGCAGCAAAAACACCAGTAAGAGGATTTTTCATTTTGATTTTGTGCTGAGTCAACATTCTTAGATTTGTTCAACATTGAACACATGAATATACCCTAGTTTTATATGGATTTATTCATGTCTGCGCAAATCTAGGGAGACAGGGCATCATTATATTGCCGTCAAGCACCATTTGGCCTTGCTAAGCTACCGATGGTTATCATAACCTCAGCCAAGGATAACTTCTTCCGTTTCATCTTTGTGAGGGATCTGATCTACTTCAGCTGCTTATGCCATGAAGAGCAAGCTTGTAAATAATCTTTCAAATCCCTGTATCACCAAATGTAAATCACAATTTTCAGAAACGAATTATATATAATCAGAGTGCTCTCCCCAAAAATGGTATTTCTGATGAGATATCGGTCTAGGGCTTTTGGCACCACTGATAAGTAAAGTAAAATCAATTCATTTCAATTATTATTTATTATCTTTGTTTTACACTTTTAAATCTTGTTCATATAATTACAGGTATAGTACTTAGTATTGTGATATACTTACATAATCTGTCAATAAATCAATAGACCTGTATTTATAGTGTGTATTCAAAACTTTATAACTGACAGGCGTGGAAGGTCAAAAACGTCAGGGGAGCACTGATATCACAAAGCATCACTTTTCAAGAATTGCTTAGGAGAGGTAAGTCTTAACCCTAGGGATATCCAGGTTGGCCCAGCAAAGAGCCACAGAGTGATAATCCTCCTCCTTGTTCACAGCAATGGTCTTAACATCAGGTGTGCACTTTTCATAGTTTATCTCATTCTATGAGGTAATAATTATGCCCATTTTCCACACTAGGACATCCAGACTCTCCAGGTTTGGCTGACATTCTGGGATCATGACTGTGCATGGTTTTTGGACCACAAGCAATTTAAGGGCATAAGAACCCTGTTAGTTGAGAAATGTAATCATTTTTGTAGGTTTAATGTTCTCACTTCCTTCCACCATTGCTGACATGGTCTCCCTAACAAACCATGCCCTGTTCTTTTCACGCCCCTGTTCCAGCACTTTCTTCTGTCAGAAACGTCCTTCCCTTATTCTCTCCCTGGTTTGCTGTTTTCCAAACCTCAATTTAGGCATCATCTTCGCAGAGACGCGTTCCCACAGCATCTAACACACGTCTCTCCCTTGTCAGCCTCTGCCATTTACTTTCAGCTCTTGGAGATCAGGGCTTCGGCCCTCTCTGTGTCCCTTAGCATATAGGTCCTAGCATGAAGTAGTCAACATACACAGCAAATGCTTGTTGAATGAATAAATGAGCAAATGGATGAATGAAGCCAACATTTCCTCTGGATGGAGACTGTGACCATCATGGTGGAGCCAAGACCTGGTTGCTGGAGACCCACACAGGCATCTTTAGTATGGAAGCAGCACTGGGCAGTAGAGGGCGCTCAGCCTTCCGAATAAAACAAAAATTAAAACCACAACTGAGTTTGAGCTCCAGCAGTGCCACTCACCAAGGGTGGCATGTGGGAAAGCTACAGAACCACTTTATGAGACTAATCCCTACCTGGTAAGGTTGAGGAGAGATTAAGAGCAGAGTGTCCGGCACCTACTCTGTTAGTGCCCTTTACTCCTAAAATACTCCTTTAGTTCCCGTTAGGGTTCAGACAAGAGACAGAAGAAGTTTAACATAGAGAAGAATTACATAGTAACAAGGGTATTAGCTATGAAGGGACGAAAGTATCTCTGAAGAATACCCTACGGCTGAGAGAATACTGAGAAAAGGAGCAAACTTAAAAGGGAGGTGTTATGGGTTAAGCTGGTCCCCCAGATCCACATGTTGAAATCCTAAACCCAGTACCTCAGAATGTGACGGTATTTGGAATAACCTTATGGTCACTGCAGATGTACTTAGTTGTTAGGATAAGGTTATACTGGGGTAGAATGGGCTCCTAAATTGACTTGTGTCATATATATATATAAAAAAGGGAAATCTGGACACCACCACAGACACAGGGAGAACACCATGTAAAGATGAAGGCTGAGATTGGGATGATGCTTCTACAAGCCAAGAAATGCCAAACATTTCCAGCACCACTGGAAGCGTGGAATAGATTCTCTCCCGGCTCTCAGAAGGAACCAAGCTCGTAGACACCTTCATCTCAGACTTCCAGCCTCCAGAACTGAGATACGATACATTTCTGTTGTTTAAGCCACCTGTTTACAGTACTTTGTTACAGCAGCTCTAGTTAGTGCATACAGGAAGCCTCCTCCCCAAATTGGGGAAGGTGTGCTTGCAGTCCAGTGGATGATAGATTAGTGTGCTGAAATGCCCCAGGTTAGACCTTGTCCAGTTACAGCGCTGAGCTTGTAGGGAAACAGCCCTCACCCCTAGTCTTGCAGCTGGAAGCCTCTGCAGGTACCTGCGGGCTGTGGCTGGTGTGCAGTCAGCTCGCTTTCTGCTAGGGAAAAGAAAACCCTTCCTCCTTCAGTGGTCCCTCTAGCGCCCTCTGCTGACAAGGTTTAGCATCATACCAGCTGCAAAGGAGAAAAGTTCACAATGTGCAGATTTTTGGTGGAGTAAGTCACGAAAGGAAAATTTAAAGTTGAGGGGCAATAAATTGATAACTGACACACGCTTCCTTCCTTTAAATGCATTGAAAGAATATACAACAGAATTTTGAGAAGGTAGTTTTTTCCCCCAATGACGAGGCCAGAGGCTGGTGGCCATGTGGCAGAATTGTTCTCACATTTTTTGGTATCACGAAGTCCTTTGGCTGTTGGGTGAAGCCTGCATATATCTTCTCAAAATAATGTTTTAAAATATATAATCTAAACTATATAGAATTACTGTTCTTTTTATTTTATTTAACTTTGAGGTGAGCACAAAATATCAGCAGATTTAACATTGAAGGTAAAAGTACACATACGCATAGTATGCCTGAAAAGTTAGTAGTAAATCATTTTTAAAATTTTATTTATTTATCTATATTTTGGGGGGTAATTATGTTTATTTATTTATTTATGTTTAGAGGATGTACTGGAAATTGAATCCAGGACCTTGGGTGTGCTACCACTTGAGCTATACCTTCCCCTCTGTAAATCATATTTTTATGATTTGAATTATATTCAAATCTATTTGAGTTTATTCTTCCAAGGACCCTTATAATGAATATTTTATAAACAAATCATTATTTTATCCTTTTCATGATTTCTTTATAATATACCACTTTAAAATTAAACCTTTAGTTCTTAAGTATTCTTTAAAACACACACACAAAACAAAATACATAGAATTACAAATGACATTGAAATACAATAACAAAGATTTTTTTTTTAAAGCCAAGTTCATGATTTAGTGTGCTAGTTAATTTTTTTTTACAAGTGTGTGAGTTAATTTGGGATGTCAGCTTGATTGGGTTATGGGTGCCCAGCTATTTGGTTAAGAGTTATTTCTGTGAGGGCGTTTCTGGATGAGAATGGTATTTGAATTGATAGCCTGAGTACAGCAGATTGCCCTTCCCAGTGTGGGTGAGCCTCCTCCAGTCTAATCAGGGGTTAACAGAGCAGAGTGGTGAAGAAAGGGAGAATTCACTCTCTCTGCCTGATGGTTGAGCTGGGATGTCATCCGTCTTCTGACCTTGTCTGGGACTTAATGCCATTGGCTCTTCAGTTCTGAGAACTGCACCGCTGGGTTATTCCTGGCTTTTCTGGTGGCAGATGGCAGCTTGCAGATGGCGGATGATGGGACCTCTCAGCCTCCTTAATCATATGAACAAATTCTTCATAATAAATACATTTATCTGTAATAAAGTCCCTACTGGATTTGTTTCTCTGGAGAACCCTGACAAATACCTATATAACAGGAGTGCTTCTTTATGAGTGCAACAAAAAACAAGATTGACCAGTGGATTTAATACTCACACAATGTCTAAGTACCAGTGTGAAAAAGACATGGCAGGAGATCTGTACGCACCATGAAGTGACGTGGAAATACCTGTAGCTTGTATTTGTGACAATTTCACAGATGATGCTATTACTGGCACTGTGGCTTACATTTATAATTGAAAAAAATGCTAAATTTCAGTTAGAGGTTAGTGGGAAGAAAAGGACAGAATTCTTCTATTCAAGTTTATGGACCCTCTGAGTTCAGAACCCTTGTCCAGAAATAATTCCAGCATTAGCCTGAGGTTGACCTAGACCTCTCTACTCACCAGGCGGGTATTTTTGCGGCTCACACCGGGGAGAGGATCACCCCGACACAAGTGCCGGCCACTCTGATGCGCGTGCGCTGTGCTGTGGCAGCCTCTCTTGCCTCACCCCACCGTGGTTGCTGCCTCCTGCACGGGGAAGTGTGCAAAACCCAAATGCACGGGGCCTTTAAAGGGAGGAAAAGGGAAGATCCCAGCTGCACAATGACTGCTCACAGGAGAATACAATGGCAGGCTTCAGAGTCTTTGTGGTGGGGTCATGTGGTCCTGCCCACGCGTTGGCCAAGCGAGGCAGTCAAGGAGGAAACACTCGTGTATTTGCATGGGTGGTGCTGGACCGGACGACTGACCCACTGACCACTCGGCTGGTGACGATAAAGACAAGGCTGACTCTCCTCACTGTGTTCGGGGGCTTGTAGACCTATGTCCTGAAATCCAGAACCAGAAGATGTTTGGAGGCTGTACATTTGCTTTTTGCCCAATTCCACCCTCCCTTGGGGTAGCCTCTTAAAAAGTAAAAACAAACCAAAAAATGCTGGCATACTTTACTTGTATGTTCTGTTCATCCAACAAATATCTGTTGAGCGCTGGTGTGTGCGAGGAGGCACTGTGCTGGGTGCTGGGTGCTGGGTGCTGGGGAGATCATGCTGAGTTCTCAGCCTCTGCCCTCTGTGAGTTCAGTCCAGCGAGAGAAACAGACAAGTAGACACATCACAGCCTCAGAAGTCCCCCGGGTGTGGTGAGAACAGGGCAGGGAGGGCTGGTTCTCCTCCTTAATAAAAAAAAACTCCACCAAAAGAAGAAAAAAAGAAAAAGAAAAGAAAAAACCCTGACAGGATTTGAAAGTTGCTTAATAGAGTAGACCTTAAAAATTCTTACTGCAAGAAAAAAATTTTTGTTAACTCTGCGAAGTGATGGATGTTAACTAAACTTACTGTGGTGATCACTTCTCTCAGTATATACGAATATCAAAGTAGCCTGTTGGATACCTAAAACTATGTAATGTTATATGTCAGTTATATCTCAATAAAACTGGGGGGGGACGTGAAGAATGCGGGTGAGGCAGATACAGTCAAAGCGAATGCTTTCACCTACACACACACACACAAAGAAAAGAAAAAGGAAAACTGACACTCAAAATGCTTTACTTTAAGTTATTAAAATGCCAGGTTACTTTCCTTCTCAGGGTTCCCCCCCACCCATGATAAATATAAGAAGTATATATCAAGGTGCCGAGAGGAGAGAATGGGGGCCGAATTTCTGGTCATCACCCTGAGACAGCTCTCAATTTCTCCCACCTCACATGGCCAGCACACCTTTCTCCAGCCCCGCTCCCTGCCAGTGTCAACAAGAAAGCCAAGAAGTAAAACACGGGGATAAAACGGCTTACAAAATTCCATAAAGCATCTGGATTTTAAAACTAATTGTGGTGCCATCCCTCAGAGAGGAGCGAGCAAGTCACCATCCAGGGATGAACGCGGGAAACAGTGACAGCAACTCGGACGTCGGAGCCACCACGCCCGCAGCCGCAGCATCCCCGACGCTCCGCCACAGCCGGGAAGCAGCGTCCCCTCCGCTGGCTTAGCTCTGCTCCTCTGCTCCCCGGGGACAGGGGGCAGGACCAGCCGTCCAGACGAGGCCTTCGAATCGAACGCAGGGGTGCTTGCGCGGACACTGATGGAGGGAGAGCATCTGGGATCTCTTCCGAGCGCTGACCCGTTGCTTCCTGGGTGGAAGAATGGACCAGAGAAGCTTGGGCTGGGAACCTGGGCGGCGGGCAGCACAGCTGGTCGCCTTCACGGCCCCCACAGAGCGAACACGTATTGAGAGGGGCTGTGGTAAAATAGTGGGTCCTAGCACGTCCTCCTTTCTTCCCCCTGATAAAATAAAAGTAAATTAATCACCCAA